GTAGACTCCGGCGTTGTTCGTGTGTCAAAGTTGGAGACCGGACGCTTGAACGGTTACGTTTGCGCTTTCAACGCTCTTCCTACGACTTCTTCGTTTTACCGCTTACGGAGAAAAGGTACAAATTTCTTACTACTATAAGTTTTAGTACGTGATTCTGGGCAAGATAATCATGTTAGGATGTTAAAATTTTTATATTCCGTTGCCTATCCTTGTATGGTTACCTTTCAGCACCTGATTTACAGGATGCGGGTCGGGGACGGAGGAGTTGGGAACCTGACCGGGTGTAGAGTCAAGAGAAGAAGACCCGGTCGAAGAAGAAGAGTTGGAATCCTCAGAGGAGCAGTCCTCTGAGGACGAGATCCTATCGCTAAACGAAGACATGGCCGGGAAAGAAAAAAGAGAAGGAAGGGGGAACTTACTTGACTCGGAGGGCTGGATAGCGAAAGATAAGGAACTTGACCGGTGAAAGCTCTGAGACTTGATCGCGGAAAGTGGGCAGAGAGGAGGGGTGGAGGCCCTTATATAGGAGGAGAGGAGGCCAAAGGGAGCGACGTGGCCACGCGAGAACACGCCGCGTCAGGCGGCGCAATGATGACCCACTGGCAGGCGAAACGGCAGGTCTGCAGCCGACTGATTGCAACGGTTGGTGCGCGACACGTGGCAAAAGTCAGAGTTTGAAATTCAAATTTCAAAAAATTTTAGGCGGGAAGGGCCAAAATTTCAAAATTGGAGTCCTACTTCAGACTTTTTACTTCCCGCTCATGACAAATTGCATGACCGAGAAGTGGAGGGCTTATTGATGGGTGTATTTCACCCAAGACCGGTCAAAGGAGAAGGCCAAATCTTTGACCGGTCAATCTCGAAAGTTTTGGAAGGGAGACTTAAATCGCCAGCAAAACAATATATCATCGGCCAAATAATGACCGGTACACTTCACAAAAAAGTATACCGGTCAAACTACGTTATCATCCTATTTATTCCAGATTTCGATAAATTCGTCCCTTGGAGATTACCCGGTGTAGTTTCTGGGGTTGGGGTGGAAAGTGTCGGCAGAGGAGGATCTGCGAGGGCTTGGCGTGTAGCGACCCGTGTCAGTAGAGGACAACTGGAGATGCTGGAGAATCCATCCAAGGCACTACTTGACAAAGGGAATGATCCCCTTCACAAGGCGACAAGGCAGCTTGAGGACGAAACCAGTCACCTCGCACCACATCAGCAGCATGCCCCCACGTGGGC